GAATCATAGAATGGTTTAGGTTGGAAAAGACCCTTAAGATCATCAAGTCCAACCATTAACCTAGCACTGCCAAGTCCACCACTAAACCAGGTCCCTAAGCACCACATCTACATGGCTTTTAAATACCTCCAAGGATGGGGACTCAACCACTTCCCTACGCAGCCTGGTCCAGTGCCTGAATACCCTTTCGGTGAAGAAATTTTTCCTAATATCCAATCTAAACCTCCCCGGCGCAGCTTGAGCCTGTTTCATCTTGTTCTGTCGCTTGTTACTTGGGAGAAGAGACCAAACCCCACCTCGCTACAGCCTCCTTTCAGGTAGCTGTAGAGAGCAATAAGGTCTCCCCTCAGCCTCCTCTTCTCCAGGCTAAACAACCCCAGCTCCCTCAGCCGCTCCTCATAAGACTTGTGCTCTAGACCCTTCACCAGCTTCGTTGCCCTTCTCTGGACACGCTCCAGCACCTCGATGTCCTTCTTGTAGTGAGGGGCCCAAAACTGAACACAGCATTCGAGGTACGGCCTCACCAGTGCCGAGTACAGGGGGACGATCACCTCCCTGGTCCTGCTGGCCACACTATTCCTGAGATAAACCAGGATGCTACCAAATGTGTTTTATACACATTGTATGAGCTTTGTTATACAAAGAGTTTTTATAATTTTTTTATCATTTGCACTATATTTTAACAAGCAATTTCATAAGTTAGTGACAGCTGTTTAATTTTCTTCTATACATTTTCATCTTAAATAAATAGAAAGCCTTTTGTATTATACTCATTATTAAAGGATGCAACAGCCTTTTTCATAAGCATTGCTCTTTGCTCATATTTTCTGTTATTGTCATAGAGATTTAAGAACTGTACAGATAATATTGTTTTCAATTTATTAACCTAATTTACTATTATTGTCTAGAGAGTTTTTACCAAGTTGTTCAGGAGAAAAGTTTTAGTTGAACTATACTGTCATCTTGTGGTGATCAATGTTTCTGGTTCAAATTCCCACACGGAAGTTTTCTTTTCAAACTGAAGAATCTGGCTACTATACAAACAAAGTTATGTTTCTTGTGGCTGCTTGGTTACAGATATTCAGCGTAGTTTCTTCCCCACTAATTCCAACCGAGGTGTCTACCTCTGCAAATCAAGATGACATCCAGAAACACAGGCATCCAAACTGACCCTCATGAAAATGTTGCCCTTGAATTCCTCAGTTCTCCTGTAGCCTTCCTGAGACATTGTTACCCAGGTCAAAGTGGTCAATAGCCAAGAGGATACTGAAAGGCATGCCTTTGATCTAAGAGGTCACATTTAGAAATAAAGACTTCAGCTTTCCTGCCTCTCTGAAGATAATTGGTATCAAGGACTGACTGGCTTCTACTATGTATGAAGCTTGTGTCTTCACTATTCCTATCTCTCAAAGTCATCCCCACTTGTGCAAAGGGCACTACATAAGTGGACAAATAAGTGATGCCATATGATGATGTCAGACAGAAATTGCTTGCATTTGCCACACACAAGTCCTTTCAGCAGTGTTCAAGTTTCATAGAACCATTACGACTCTATTTTCTGGGAGCAAATCCCACCATGGTCACGTCAGGGACTGTATGGCTGTACTGCACCCTGGTGACAGTGTGAGGTGGTAGCATGGCATCAAACCTGTGCAGAACAAATGCCACTGAGGTTATTTGGTGCTCATACCCACCTTCCTCCCGACTGCCTAGCCAGCCCTGGTTTTGGTCTCCCTGCCCCTGAGCTGGACTTATCTGTAAGGCTGCTCTGCTTCAGTTGTGGGAAGGACTGAAAGTGGGTGATTCTCCTCTTCCCCAGCAAAGTGCCCCGGCAGAGCAAAGAAGTCAGGAAAGTCTATGGACCTTGGGTGGGATCAGCTTGAGGCAGAGGGGCTTGTACCCTGGGTGGGCATATCCAGTCTTGCATTTTGCTTCTCTTTTTCAATGCCAACCAGATCGGACAGGCTGCAGAACATGGTGCTAGTGGATACAGAAAGGCACTCGCCTCCACGGTATTCAGTAGACCCTGATCTAGATGCTTAATAGGATCAGTGTTTGCTGGCAGCACAAAGAGTTGCTCCCATCACCGGACCCAGCTGGACCAAAAGTGCTGTGCGGAAGCTGTGATGGGACACCGGCTGCAGTGACAGGCTGCTGTTTCCTACATCAAAAAGACAGTGCTGAAATCCAGACACAACACCTTCTAAACTTTGGACTACTTCCTATGCATCAAAGAAGAAGGGTGAATTAGCCAGCGCTGGTGCCATTCAGCAGCTGCCAGTAAATGAGCCTGTAGGTTTTGAGCAGACTGGAGTTCACCATGGGTGGTGAACTCTGTCCTCACCCGTGACCTGCATGGGGGCTAAGAGCTCCTGAGATGGTACTGGGTCAGCCACAGCTCTGCCCATTCTCTACCCTAAAAGTATCCAGTGTTCCTGAACACTAAAGACAACTGCATGACAACACCAAAAATCTTTCTTTCCTAACAGGTTTGAAGACATGTAAATGAACAAGATTATTTTTATCCTGAAAAGGACAAGAATAATTCCTCCGGCAGCATATCCATGCAGGCAGCCCAACCAACATACTTCCTTTGGAGGCTGTTGCCATGGCATCTGTCCAATGCCTTCACAGCATCTTCCAGATTTCTGAGATCTAACGAGAAAGAAACAGGAAAGGAGGCACTAGTTAAAAGACATACAGCAAGGTTGCTGGGAGAAATATGACTCCAGTCCAGCCTGTAGGATGTATTCATACTGTTTGAGTTAATTGGGATTTTTTTTTTTTCTGCATGGCATTTCATCCATAGGACACCGAGTTTTCTCTTTTGATCTTTGGCAAGGAAGACAGAATTGATATAAAAATATTTTTGTTGAGTCAGTCAGGGCAAAATTCATTTTACCTAACTTCAGCCATCTATCTTCAGCCCCCCTTCAGCCTAAGGGTCCTGTCCAGGCTCCTGTTAGAATTAATGGAAGGAGAAGGGTTCCTCCCAAGGATGATTTTTCCAGCCTACTTTAGACACCTAATTTAAGATGGGATGATTTACCTGTTGGAACCATTTACCTCTCTCCTTTAACTACCGTGGGACCATGGATGGACTAAATGCCTGGATTTTCAGGTTAGGTAAAATGAATATAAGCAAAGACCTCTGCCTTAGGTGTTATTTCAGTGATAGAAATTGCCAACCAAAATTAAAGAGCTGAGTGAACAGCCTGGGCCACACCTTTGTGTGTCTGGAAACAATGCAGCTAAAGTCAAAATGGTTTTCTGCCCCATCCCTCAACCTTAGCAGATGTCAAAAGCCTCCCAGCACATAAATTAGCACCAAAGGAATTCAGTGAGAGGCCATGCTCAGGAAACAAGTGAGGATAAATTAACAGTGAGACAACTGTACAAGGCTGGTTTGTTCAGGACTGAAAATGCAGCAGCCGGACAGAGCTTCACTGCTTTGGGGACTGTGCCATGGGATGATCCCTTCTTCTGGACAATGAGCTCCGTGTTACAGGGATTCAACTGTTCATGTGTTCATCATGGGAGAGTTCTTCACAGTTTGCTGGCTTGTGGCAGGCTCAGACACCTATATTTTGGAATCACTGCATTTTAATCAGTAAACCAGAAGCAGGAGTGAGATCTAGCCTCCCAGATAAAGCCATACTTTTATCAAGAGCTGTTAGACAAGGTGATATAGTTCTACAGTCAAGGATAAAAAAACTGGCTTTATCATCAACTTCTGACTTTGTTTGAGATGACAAAGTGTTGATCTGGTAGTAAGATCAACACAAATTTCTTCAGTTTCTCTCTGTACATGTTATTTCCCCCAAATTAACTCTTCTAAGACAAAACTGCGTACAGTGTGTGAGTCTACTGAAGATGTGTGGTAGGCTGGCATATGAGAATTTACATGGTGCTTCAGACTAAAAACGGATTTTGCATTAATGACATCCACCGTGGTGCTTTCGACTGCCACGTGGTGTGGGGGGGGGTCT